AAGGAAGGTTATACACTGCCTTTTTTTGGGGCCCGCAAAAAAAATTGTCTCAGATCGACTCGGAAAACAAATTTTCTTATAGAATGTGGCCTGTAGAATCCATAATTTCAAACAGTTCCAAGATTGGGCTACTAGTTCAAAAGTTACAGCCCTTTGAATTTTTTTTCGAAATTTGTTTCTAGTCTATAGCTTTTGATTGAGAAATCCGATCGAAAAAGTACGAATTGTTTTGTTTTCTACGCACCAAAAGTAATAAGAAAAAATGTTTTCCCGAGAAATTTTGGTTCAGTCGATTTTTGGTAAAAAAGGAAGGTTATATACTGTCTTTTTTTGAGCCCCGAAAAAAAAATTGTCTCAGATCGATCCGGAAATAAAATTTTCTTATAGAATGTGGCCTGTGTAATCCATAATTTCAAACAGTTCCAAGATTGAGCCACTAGTTCAAAAGTTACAGCCCTTTGAATTTTTTTTCGAAATTGGTTTCTAGTCTGTAACTTTTGATTGAGAAGTCTAATCAAAAAAGTACGAATTGTTTTGGATTCTACGCACCAAATTAATAAGAAAAAGTGTTTTCCCGAGAAATTTTGATGCAGTCGTTTTTTGGTAAAAAAACGAAGGTTATACACTGCCTTTTTTTAAGCCCCGAAAAAAAATTGCCACAGATCGATCCGGAAACAAAATTTTCTTATAGAATGTGGCCTGTAGAATCCATAATTTCAAACAGTTCCAAGATTGGGCTACTAGTTCAAAAGTTACAGCCCTTTGAATTTTTTTTCGAAATTTGTTTCTAGTCTATAGCTTTTGATTGAGAAATCCGATCGAAAAAGTACGAATTGTTTTGTTTTCTACGCACCAAAAGTAATAAGAAAAAATGTTTTCCCGAGAAATTTTGGTTCAGTCGATTTTTGGTAAAAAAGGAAGGTTATATACTGTCTTTTTTTGAGCCCCGAAAAAAAAATTGTCTCAGATCGATGCGGAAACAAAATTTTCTTATAGAATGTGGCCTGTAGAATCCATAATTTCAAACAGTTCCAAGATTGGGCTACTAGTTCAAAAATTATAGCCCTTTGAATTATTTTTCGAAATTGGTTTCTAGTCTGTAACTTTTGATTGAGAAGTCTAATCGGAAAGTACGAATTGTTTTGGATTCTACGCACAAAATTAATAAGAAAAGGTGTTTTCTCGAGAAATTTTGTTGCAGTCGTTTTTTGGTAAAAAAGGAAGGTTATACACTGCCTTTTTTTGAGCCCCGAAAAAAAAATTGTCTCAGATCGATCCGGAAACAAAATTTTCTTATAGAATGTGGCCTGTAGAATCCATAATTTCAAACAGTTCCAAGATTGGGCTACTAGTTCAAAAGTTACAGCCCTTTGAAATTTCTTTCGAAATTGGTTTCTAGTCTATAACTTTTGATTGAGAAGTCTGATCGAAAAAGTACGAATTATTTTGGATTCTACGCACCAAAATTAATAAGAAAAAGTGTTTTCCCGAGAAATTTTGGTGCAGTCGATTTTTGGTAAAAAAGGAAGGTTATACATTGCCTTTTTTTGAGCCCCGAAAAAAAAATGTCTCAGATCGACCCGGGGAAAAAATTTTCTTATAGAATGTGGTCTGTAGAATCCATAATTTCAAACAGTTCCAAGATTGGGCTACTAGTTCAAAAGTTACAGCCCTTTGAATTTTTTTTCGAAATTAGTTTCTAGTCTATAACTTTTGATTGAGAAGTCTGATCGAAAAAGTACGAATTGTTTTGGATTCTACGCACCAAAATTAATAAGAAAAAGTGTTTTCCCGAGAAATTTTGGTGCAGTCGATTTTTGGTAAAAAAGGAAGGTTATACACTGCCTTTTTTTGAGGCCCGAAAAAAAAATTGTCTCAGATCGACCCGGAAAACAATTTTCTTATAGAATGTGGCCTGTAGAATCCATAATTTCAAACAGTTCCAAGATTGGGCTACTAGTTCAAAAGTTACAGCCCTTTGAATTTTCTTTCGAAATTGGTTTCTAGTCTATAACTTTTGATTGAGAAGTCTGATCGAAAAAGTACGAATTGTTTTGGATTCTACGCACCAAAATTAATAAGAAAAAGTGTTTTCCCGAGAAATTTTGGTGCAGTCGATTTTTGGTAAAAAAGGAAGGTTATACACTGCCTTTTTTTGAGCCCCGAAAAAAAAATTGTCTCAGATCGACCCGGAAAAAAATTTTCTTATAGAATGTGGCCTGTAGAATCCATAATTTCAAACAGTTCCAAGATTGGGCTACTAGTTCGAAAGTTACAGCCCTTTGAGTTTGCTTTCGAAATTGGTTTCTAGTCTATAACTTTTGATTGAGAAGTCTGATCGAAAAAGTACGAATTATTTTTGATTCTACCCACCAAAATTAATAAGAAAAAGTGATTTCCCGAGAAATTGTGGTGCAGTCAATTTTTGGTAAAAAGGAAGGTTATACATTGCCTTTTTTTGAGGCCCTCAAAAAAAATTGTCTCAGATCGATCCGGAAAAAAATTTTTCTTATAGAATGTGGCCTGTAGAATCCATAATTTCAAACAGTTCCAAGATTGGGCTACTAGTTCAAAAGTTACAGCCCTTTGAATTTTCTTTCGAAATTGGTTTCTAGTCTATAACTTTTGATTGAGAAGTCTGATCGAAAAAGTACGAATTGTTTTGGATTCTACGCACCAAAATTAATAAGAAAAAGTGTTTTCCCGAGAAATTTTGGTGCAGTCGATTTTTGGTAAAAAAGGAAGGTTATACATGCCTTTTTTTGAGCCCCGAAAAAAAAATTGTCTCAGATCGATCCGGAAAAAAATTTTTCTTATAGAATGTGGCCTGTAGAATCCATAATTTCAAACAGTTCCAAGATTGGGCTACTAGTTCAAAAGTTACAGCCCTTTGAATTTTCTTTCAAAATTGGTTTCTAGTCTATAACTTTTGATTGAGAAGTCTGATCGAAAAAGTACGAATTGTTTTGGATTCTACGCACCAAAATTAATAAGAAAAAGTATTTTCCCGGGAAATTTTGGTGCAGTCGATTTTTGGTAAAAAAGGCCCTCAAAAAAAATTGTCTCAGATCGACCGGAAAAAATTCTTGGAGTATACGCAATTTATATTTGGCAACTATGTCGAAAAATAGAGAAAATCAAATCATGTAAAATCTGAAAATAAATGTGGTCTTTGAACATTTTCTTCAAAGGAACCTTATTTACAAAACACCCCACGTATAAACGTATAAGTATTCGAGCTAGAGGAATAGTGATAACATCAAAGAAATTCCACTGTTATTGAGTCTACACAATGAACAAATATAATAAATATATAAATATAAATATAATAGGGCAGATTTTTGAAAAAAACCTTCTAAGCCTTTGAAAAGGCATAAAAACAAACACATAATCGATCTGAAGGTTCTACCTTACGCACCTTTGTGAAAACAGAAAATCTACACTCACTATGTACTTTATGAGTAGATCCACATTCTTGTGATGTTACAGAGAAAAATGCAAGCTACACCACTGGGAATGTTTTACTGTGAATCTTCGCAATTCAAATTGTACAAGGACAAAGGCTGTGCATAAAAAAGAGAGAGGTGGCTTTTCCTTGAAGCAAACTTTTTGTTACGGAAGGTTGAAGATAAGTACAAGGTGTTAATACCAGTAAAATTATTATTGAATTTGTTCTTGAATTGTCATAATTATTAATTGATGATACTTATTGTTGAAATGCAGGACGATTAGTTTTTGAGTCAAAATAAAATTAAACAAACCTTTTGACTTCAGCGAATCGGACTGGGTATGTGAATGAGAATCATTCCCCTGAGTCGTATAAAGTAACCCAGTAGGTTTCTCGAATGGTTTTTCTCAGAAGTGACACCTTTGATAGGAAATGTTGGCTAGCCTCCTGCAGTGGTTTGAGCACTGGCGTATGATGTAACGTACCTAATCGCCATTGTTGGCACCCAAGTACCATGAAGATCCACCATACCTAGGCGTGAAACTTGAGTCTAGACGGACGCCTTAATCTATCCCGCCATGCCGACATTAAAACGGCTAAGGCCCGAGGAGCCGCTGGTCAGCTCTACCCGGTCTCAAAAAGCCGCCTCTCCATCAAGACAAAGATAACTGTCTACAAGACTTACATCAGACCATCTTGACCAAATAAAATTCCCATATGCCGCCGTACAGGTTGAAAGCCGACATGAAAACTGTTACAATGTAAAATTGTTAAATGCAGATTGGAAAAAGGGAGAAAAAAGCCCGTACATATCCTGAAATGTTTTCAATAGCTTTTTGTTCCTTTCTTGTAGGCAATGAAGCCCCTAGAGCTATTCTCGTGTAATTAAGACAGCACCTTTTAACAGACATTTTTAAATAATTTTCAAGCCTTCACTAGAAAAACGTGACACCTAATGCTGAAAAATCCGCATATAGCAGCTTTTATGCAAGTTATATAAAATATTTAAATTAGTGTCAACACGTATCAAACCCTGGCCGTATAAACTATTTGGATTAATAATTAATATCGAGGCTACATGTATCAAAACTGTGTAAAATTGAAGAGCCTACCGCTGCTCTCCTTTTACAGCCAAGTAGTTTTGACTTTTTCCTGGATCTCATTGTAAAAGGTTCCAATGAAACAAAGGCAGAAATGATAATTACATTGTACATTTTTGAATACCCCCCGCCATTTCGGAGAATTGGATGGATTTTGTTTAAAACAATTCTTTTTCTCAATGATGGACAAAATAGTGAGGTAAAGGTAGGTAAATTCTGGTAATGACGTACATCTATAAATCGATTCTTTGTAATCGCCAGTGTGAAACGAGATATTATTAAAAAGCGATTTAATCTACATCTAAAGCAAGGGAGCAATTAACTCTAAGCGTCTTATAATGGCACCACAAAGAAAGATCGTAAATCATTCCCATTTTCAGTTTACAACCCCCACAAACAACAATTTTCTTTCAATTACGAGTTTCTTTTCCGTATATTTTGAATGTCATGATTTAAACCGTGGGAGAATTGATTTTACTGACCTTTCTTAAAAATCTCGAGATCTTATCGCCGTGCTCCCATGGTGTAACCCATCCGCTCGACGCGTTGCAATCGAGCCCTTTACTGCCGTTATTAACGATCTGGCCCCTTCTGTCCGGTTTTTTCCGTAATAACTTATTAAAAGCTTCAACTAGTACGAATACCGCATCGTACATGAGGGCCGCCTGTGCGGAAATGCTCTCCCTTCCGGCGCCCTGAGAGGAGATCGGATCGAGGCGCTTCCATCCCTCGAGGAAGTCCTTTACATACTTTTTTGTGGTGTCGACTATTCGGAAACCGGTTATATTAATTGCGCCGTATTCTATTACTTCGCTTTCCCAACGGTCGTCCATTATCTGAAAAAGTAATACATGTTACGAGTCAAAACGTCACATGTAATGTACTATGTGCATTTAATTAGTAAAGAATGAAGAGGATCAATATTAAACATACTGTTGGAAAGTTACAACTCGTATCAGACAGAGCATTTGATGCTGTGTAAATTAGTCTATGCGAATTGACCGCAAGATTAGATGATCTAACTTTATTTGTACCATAATCTTGCCCCGAAACATTCGCCTCTGAGATCTTTCCCTATACAATTCGTCTCGAAAGGTTTCGTTCATGAATACTAGACCATCATACTACTTCCTCCCATAAAACAAATTGGCATATAAAAATACCCGAATCCAAGATAACTCGTTTTAAGGAACGATGTAGCAAGGAAAACGCACCTACCCACAAAAAAAAAACAAAAAACTAACAAAAACATCGGCCAGTCCCAACAGAAGTCCGAATCTCTATTCACTGAATTTTCACATTCGGCAACGTATCTGCTCTGAATCTGGGTTTAAGCAAAAAAAAGCACATTAACCGCGGTTACCTCTGTGCCGGTACATTTTCAGGAAGATATTCAAGACATTATTTGATAGGATTTAATTTAAATCTTTTTTTAAACTTTTCGTCGTGTTCAAAACCTTATCACGAATTTTCCCTTTACTGACCTGTCGGAAATATGGTGAATATCGTTATCCTAGGAATGTTTTCAAAAAGATTCCAATTAAATTACAGAAAGACTTCAGTCAATCCATTTCAGAAGGGTTTAAAACACTTTGGTGCGTTTGTCAGAATAATAACAGGAGACAAGGCATATTATGGGTATTGTACCTTGTTCCTGTAGGTTTAGGAGATTGCAAAAGTGAACCTATGTGAATTGCACATTTAAATGACCGTAAAAGGGTCCATTAAAGGTTACAGGATATAGGATTTACATACGAAAATTCTCAGACCAAAAGAGCAAGTTATTTTCTAGCAAATTTCTAGAGTATTTCAAATTGTGAGGATAACCTAATATAAATAGCCCCAAATTATCTACTTGGAGATCCAAATAGTATATAGACGCGATTCTTACAGTATTTTTTTGTCATTTTAAATCTAAGAGAAATAAAATGAAATCATATTGACATCATTTGCCCGATTTTGCACGCATTTGAGTATTCAAAACGGAGATTGTGATTCAGGTATAATTTAAACAATTTTAAAATTTAAGATTTTTAAAACTGCAAGAAGGTTCTAGTAGCGTCCAAAACCGACCAAAGATTTTTCAAAAGGAAAAACAAGAAGAAAAGAATTTGATACATACAATACACAATAAATAGAAAGCGGTCCAGAATAACTACAACGCTGTATATGTATATTACAATAAAACTTTATGAAGAACTCAAATCTCTAATTAGATTTTATGTGGAATAAAAAAATCGATTCTCAAATACTTAGTGATTGTATTATATAAGGACGTAAACCGATCTGAAACGATATATTCTGAGATTACCCTAGGATGATTCAAAGTGATTTAAACAGAATTTCAAGGATTTTATCAGGCATCTAAGATAAAAGAAAACGGTGAAAGCATTCGAAATGGGAAATTACTCCAAACCAGGACTGCTACCTATTCCAAAAGCTCTAAAGCATTCTGCAAAGATCCAGCTAGAATCATAGAAAATGCACTCCGAAAAAATTACGGGCTGATGGTAAAACGTTTTAAGTCTCCCTTGCAGATACAACCCCAACATGCGTTATTTAACTTTTTTAAAGGTCTGGAAAAAATATGAACAAGGATGAAAGTTGAATTAATAAGTTACATGCCATATGTGTGTAAATTTTTTTCATCGCTTGAATTTAAGCTTTAGGGATGCTGTAGTGCCCATTTGTCGACAAAATTGTTCCAAATTAATTGGATTAGGTGTCAAAATAAGCACGTCTGCTATAAATAATGATTTTGTTTGACTATTTTGGTGTAACAGTAACCGGTAAGATAATACCTAAACTTTCAACGGGGTTTGATGCATGTTCCCTTCTTGTTTGTGATATTGGAAAGTTGTTCAGGCGATTATTTTGCTTCAACAACGACCCATAACGTGATACAATAAGATAACAAGAGACGCATGAATGCACGACTTGATTTTGTTATTGTTATACAGGGTGCCCATTATGTATGGAATATATTCAAGAATAAGAAACGTACACGTTCATTTGTTTTATTTTGATGTAGGATGTCTAGATTAATGTTAGATGGAGAGCTGAAAATTAAAAATCAAAAAGTTGCCGAAGAAGAAGTAACTCAGACTGGGTTAGTGATAAAAATGATGAAAAATCGATTACTGGTTATGTTTTTAATTTTGGGAAAGCCGAAAACAGAAATGTGGAGCCAGAGCATCGATTCATGCAGAGTATATCGCCCTTTATGAGTCAATGTGTGATTTCTGTGGCTAAAATCTTCGTTGCATGAGGTAGATGAAGAAAGTTTGATTTATGGAAGAAAAATTGTGCATTGTGATAGCCAAAGTTCGATTGCAATTGAAACTATTTTCGTTATTATAGTGAGTGTACTAGCAAAGATTAGTATATTTAAATCTGTGGTACTAGTAACAGAGCGGTTAAAAGAGAATAAATGCTCTCATCAGAAAACCTTGTTGACCTCTTTAATACGAAGTTCCTGTCAGGGCCCAAATCAGAAATGTTTGCTAAGGCTATAGATCTATTATTTCAGAATTTTTGTTATGGTTTTGCTCTGGTAATGTAAGAATTTCCTATACATATGGAATAAGGGGAGGTAACTTGCATTGCCTAGTTAAAACTAACCATTTATTTCATACTGTCCGCTATACCGTACATTACATCATTCATTTGAGTCCGGAAAGTGATCTATTACATCACAAGGCCGGAAAGTGTTGCGTAGCAACTGATAATTTTCTGACAAAAAGAAACGTCAAATTTATTTAAGATGATAGCTATTTACATTATCATTCGAAAGCTTAAGACTATTAATTATACAATTAGAATTCTCACTAATTTTAATAGTGGACACACCCCCATCGCTGGGGACTGTGGTGGTGGAAACCTCTTGCCACCTTCTCAACCATATTCTTGGGGCGAAAATTGCAATAATTTCTGCACAATTTAAAAAAATTCACTCCATCGCACGTATTAATGACTGCAAATACGTCTACCTCTACCGTGAGTTTTTGTGTCCTGATGAATCCGAAATTAAAAAGTTGTACAATTAGGTGTCATCTAACCTTTACTAAAAGGTAATCTTTTGTAGGCGCTGTCAACTTGACATATTTGGAAATGTTCGCGTTTGCATTTATCATGGTTTTGCACATTGAATATTTGGACCACAATGTAGAACTAGAGAACTTTTTGGCCTAGAAGGTATTCCATTAGTTTAAAGAAGGCTTGTTAGCTCTAAATATTTTCTCACCGCATCCAAAAAGTTAGAAAGCATGATGTTTTCGTTGACATCATTATCCTCATTGTACCTTTTTTCGCCAAGCACAAACTATATAACTGATACTGATTTCTGGGGATGAGATTTTCTACAGATTCTTCACTTTTTGAACAAATCACCCTTACAAATTCACCACCAGAAGAACATGCCGCCTCAATTTTTTTTACAAATAAATGAACAAGGCAAAACAATTCGTGCGTAACTATGCAACGGTACCGGATGCAAAGGTGATGCGACTAAAGATGACATGTGCTATGTAAAAGAATAAAAAAAATCTCAAAATTGAGACAGTATGAAATAAAATTTTGTACGATACACGGCCGTGAAGTGATTATTAAAGCACTCGTTTAGGAATTCCGACATCTAAACTCGTACTTTAATAAGCCACTTCCCGGCCTTATAACGTAAATAACTATTTTGATGCCCGAGACAATTGCATTCATTTCTAACATTAATCTTTCAACAGGAGCGTTTTTAAAGTTAAACTAATGGCTATTAGATAATGGTTTATAATATTCTCCTTGAAGTATGTTAAAGATAAAGAGACAGGTTGATTATAAATCGAGTACTTAAGTCATTAAATGAATATGATTATGTAATATCGACTGATGGAACTGCCGCCAATCCATCGCAATGTATGTAACAAACAGAAACATGCAAGATATTTTGTTTTGCTTGTATCCGTTACAAAAGGGAAAGAGTTGTTTGAACATAAATTCTACCCTAATCCTCTCATAAAATAAAACTCTCATGAAATATTAAACTTACCAAACCCGAGAGTAGGTAATGATAGGTTCGTTTGCCGAGGGTAATATCTCGGACATGGCTGACAACAATTTCCTTGGCCGTATCGGCTGTGCAATCTAAGACTACGTGTTTAGGATCCCAGCGTGATTGTTCCTCCAACCCCCTTAGGAACTGTAAAGCCTCCGTTACGTTATTTATTCTTCGCACTGTCGTAACTCTAAACGCTTCGTTACCAGGAATTAAACCCTGATATATTTGCTGCAGTCGCAGCAATCCTGCAACATTTGGAAAAAAATTGAGGGGTAGCGTGTAAAAGAAAAGTGGATTAAATTAGTAGCTTACCGTCGTTTGAGTCGTAAAGATAAATTATACTGCGCCAACCGTAGTATCGTACGGTATCTATTATAGCCTGATGGTACTCCGGTCGCATCGAAATCGCATAATCTAGAAATCCAGACGACGGTGCCAGAACCTTCTCGGGAAACCATGGGGTCACGAATGGCATTTGAAAGGTGTTACTATACGAGTGTAGAGTGTCGAAGGAATCTGGCGAAACGGCTCCCAGCATTGAAAATACGCCACGTTGAAATTGGCTGCAAACTGAAAAAAAGAAATAGTGCTAATGAAATGGCTTCGTGCGTACATCTTTCGCTGAATAATTTAAGTAATGCTGTCGTGATATTGTTATCTTGTGGAAAATTCAAGTGGCGTACATCGAGATTATGTCTTTACACAAAAAATGGTCGCTTGATTTTTTTGGAGTGTACATAATGTTGTAGTAGTGTACAAAATTGCATTTTTATGGACTAATAGCACACCATTGCTCCATTAGCATGTGAATATTATAAATTTCTTTCTCGCACGAACACCGATTCTTAAGAAAAACGCAATTGGTTTAGTAGTACTTATTTGTTCGTGACAACCGCAAGTAGTTGTTGAGCTGCATCGAGGAAAAAAGGAAATGTTGAAATAAACGCTGTGGCGATCGATACGACAAGCATTAAATAATAATAGCCTTTCATTGATGATGTAAATTCATAAAAAGATGCTTACTGAGTCTGGAAAGCTTGAAGGCGTCGGCGGTGTTAATAACGTCAACGTAGGCCTGGAGTTCAAAACGACGCCCCGTTACATTTTGGTTGTGCGTCAGCATGGCAAATTTGAATGCAGTTTGAACCTCATCTGTTCCTTGTTCAAAAATTGCGCCTGAAATTATAATTGCATTAGTATAAAGTAACAAAGTAACGTTACAAGCGGTCAGTTTGCGTGAACAATAATAGTTAGATCGTATCAATGTTGACAATTTTGATCTTAAGAGAAATGTGTTCCTTGCTTTACAACACTAATTATTCTCTTGAATTGGAAATTATACCACTTATCAACCACTGGTATATAGTTACACAACGGACGATCAAAAATGAGTTGCTGTTTAGTCGCCTTTGGAAGTTCAAGTAAAGTAGGTACGGTTTCCCATGTAAACAAAAATTCCGACATCGACAGCAACTCATTTTTGATCGCATAGTATTAGTGTACCGTGTGTCCTATTATGGTTGAGACTGCGGTGTATCTCAGTTGTTTTTAAAGATTGAGACTTACCTTTTCTCTATCTTACATTGGTAGTAAGATATGATAACATCCCAAAAAGTCAAACTTTTCGTTTTTAACCTGTATCTCAAAAGCAATCATAGCTAGATTCATATTCTGTTTGTGGTATTAAAAGTTTCACAGAAAAGTGGTACTAGAAAATCATAAAGCAAATGCTAAATTGTAACTTATTTTACCGGATTCCCGAACTGAGAAGTAAATTGAGGACACGAGAAGACGCAGAATTTTGCAAACTACAAGAAACCTAGGGGAGCAAATATTCAAATATAAAGAAATTAGCATTGTACGTAATCCCTATGGTAGGTACGTGAACCGTTTCTACAACCTGTATATGGCAATGAAATAGTAAGTAAGTAGGTAAGTAATTTATTGTGTTAATACATTGAAGAAATGCTTACACTCGTCCGAAAATCGTATAACACATAAACATAAAATACATGAAACATATAGAACAATATTACATAAATAACATGAAAATTCATTTAGAAAACAAATAATCAAAAAATACAAACAACAAAAAATAACTTAAAGCGTTAAAGTGTTGAGGTCGTTATCTAAAAACTCTTGGATGTTATATATTGGATTTTCGCGTAAAAAAGTTTTAAGTTTCTTGGAAAAAAGTTGTTCATTTAGAGATTGGAAACAAGAAGGTAAACGGTTATACAATACAGGGCCCCAATAATTATGTGCCGCTTGCGACGTTTTTAATCGTAATCTATCATTATATATTTGATTTTTGTTCCGAGTATTGTAAGAATGAACATTTTTATGCGTTATATAATTTGATTTATTTCTATGAACGAACAAAACTGAGTCAAAAATGTATTGTGATGGAGCTGTTAGAATTTGCAACGATTTAAAGATATTGCGACAGTCCTCCCTGTAGCCAGCATTTACAATATTCCGCACACAGCGCCTTTGCATGGCAAGCGTTCTTTTCATTCCTGTAGAATGACCCCAGGCAATGATGGCGTAACTAATGATAGAATGTGCAAAGCTATAATAAAAGCATGTGCACAGAAACTGAATTTGACAAATGTTTTAGCATATACGCAACAGATGCCACTTTTGCACAAACTTTATTTTCATGCTGTCTCCAGGAAAGCCTGGCATCGATCTGCACCCCTAGAAAATTAATGGAGGCTATGTCTTTTCTACCAATATTTCTTAAAGAAAATTGAATTTTTTGCGTCTTACTGTCGTTTATTACCAATCGATTGGCAGTAGTCATACAGGGTGATTCCTATAGTACCTGCCACCGTTTGGGAGCGTATAGGGGGTGCCTAGGGGAGTATTTTGATATAGGACACTTGGGGTCGGAAATCTAAAATAAGGGCGCCAGAACCAAATTTATCTTCTGGAATTTCACGCCTGTATGTAGGCAACCCAACCGACCGACGTTTCGCGTGGAGCGATGCAGAGCGAGTTAGCGCGAGGAAGCGACATGGGAGGGAAGGAGGGAAAACGACAGTCAAAAGCAATAACGTTTACAAGTGTTCAACGTGGCCACCGTTGTTCTCAATGCACTTCCTACATCTAGCCAACTAATTATTATACTATTGCCATAGTGTTTATTCACTTGATACGCGTCGTTGCAGACGGGATTTCGTGGGTTTAAACAAAATTCTGATCAAGTGTCAGCCACACATCGCCGCCTGAGATCGCTCCGTGTGCACCGCGGGCCGGTTGGGTTGCCTACCTACAGGCGCGAAATTCCAGAAGGTAAATTTGGCTCTGGCACCCTTATTTTAGATTTCCGACCCCAAGTGGCCTATATCAAAATACTCCCCTACGCACCACCTACACGCTCCCAAACGGTGGCAGGTACTATAGGAATCACCCTGTATACATAAATACATATAAGTCGGTATGTAAAGAAACAATTAAGGGACATGAGACAAAAAACAAACTCTTCTCAGTTACCGTAACGAAGATTCAGCTTTTGGTGCAGTTTGCTGTAATTGTTTAAGAAACTATTTCCCAACAGTTTTTTCATATTAAAAAAAATAGTGCGTATCAGGTCATATTTTGAATACGCTTATGAGAGAATTCTTGTTGTTGGACAACAGTTGTTATTGAATTTGCTTTTCAGATTCTCAGAAACTTGTTAGGGTTGAGTCGAGTTTGTCGTTTTTACATTCACAGGCAACATTTTATATGAAATTTTGTTCAGATCAAAATTTTTGAGAAAATGTTTAAAAACATCCAGGGGGAAAACTGCAGATGGAAGTTTTGAGACGCAATCCTCAAAGGAAATGCGTTCGATCTTTGATTAATTTGGAACAAGTATGTGCTTTTCTGCCCTTTTACTGTAACTTCGGTTCAAGAAGGAAGAATATATTCCCTCCAATCATAATTCCTTTACCATAAAAGGTGTCAAAATATTGTAGGAGCAAAATTGCATTACCGTGGCCATGTTTCTAAAATATTTCTGGCGTTTCGCCTATCCAGAGTTATAATTTGTTCAGGGGACGCCATTTGACGTTTGGCGAGGGCCAATCAATTATTTCGGTAAAGAACCCAAGAAAATTACGTGAATGTGGAACAGATCTTAGTCTGTGGTTCAACACAAAACTTAGCTGCCGGCGCGATTTGGTTTCCTTGAAAAATGTTTGGAAAAACGGTCAAATTTTGAGGCAACAAGGCGAAAGCGTTAATTATTTAGAGGTATAATACGTTAAATAAAAAAATACTTTCCAATTTTACAATAAAATACGGGTGCTCTCTTATATCTTTATTAAAAGAAACGGAAGTGTTATACGCCACTGAAACGTGGTAACGGTAATTGTGTGCACAATTTTTCTCCTACATTTTTTCCGATCTTTTATTGTAAAGGAATTATGATCCTGGGGATTTTAGAAGATACACACTGTATATGACATGGATAGAAAGTGCCATTTCGTCGAGTCCCAAAGATCTGAGTGATCTATGGAATTATTTATATTACTACATATTTGAATAACTTCCCATTTTACGTTTGTGTTATTAATGACAAACATTCTTATAAAACAACGTTTCATTAGGTTAATTAATTGTAATTAGTAAAGTTTACTTATAATTTCGCGCTGTTATTGGTTTACAAAGTTGCAATTTGAATTGATTTATAATGCTTGAAGTCCCGTAGAATAGAAGTTTATTTACCTGTGAAAAATGTGTCGGTAACCGGACAGTTATTGTCCATTATGTAAAGGAAGCCCGCAACTATAGTTATATACAGGCGTGATCGTCGATTATCATTCTTTCTATTCGTCTGTGGAGAAACATGGAAGTAAAAATGGGAAGTAGATTGCTAGAAAGTGCAAGTTTATGACTTAATCGCCGTGAATCTCGAAATCAAATGGTGCCCCTATGCTTTTTTTTGGATGTATGGAATTGCTTACTTGGTAGTTTTCCTGAAAGTATTACAGTAGTGTTTGGGGGTTTCACTTTCCCAATTTCTCCTTCTTGAAATTGAATGGTTGGGAGAAACTATAAGCATAGCATTTTAGGTGCAACGAAAATCCATCGGTCTGGCCCCCCTAAGCATATCTGATGGATCGTTGATGAAGTAGACAATAAAATGCTACTTTCAATTTCCTATTTTCTGTTGTTGATGTTTTAAATTTTAAGGTATGTATATTTCAAGATTGTTACTCGTTATTAGTTACAATTTTCCTACAGCTTGAAAATGACTTAGGTCGAAACTATAGTCGCTATGTGATTTTATTCACAATTTTTTTAATAAAGAAGTATGGGGAAGGTTTAGTGTGTTAAATTCCTATTCAACTGTCTACTTTCTGACCCCGTTTTGAGCTTTACCACCATGGATTCCCACCAAGATGCTACTTCATATTGGATAAGTAGTGTCATTGAAATAGTTTCTCTGCCCCAGCTGGAACAATTTAGGGGGGGGGGGGCAATGCCACCCTTAGAAATTTCATATACTTGTAATAAATAAAAACAACAAAAAGTTAGAGTACAGGCCTCTGATTTTCGATGTTTTGTACGGGTTTATTCGATTGAGGATGAATTGAGAGTAGTTTTACACTTTGTTTCTTTCCTTTTTGAGAAATTTTAAGTTTGAACTGCTCGTAGTTAGGTATATTTACTTATTATGTACATATAACGTAAATAGGACAGTATGTAAATTTACGCTCTCCCACTCCCAATTTGCTACATGCTTGCATTTTTTAAAATACAGAAATATAAATGATCTTTGTGTCAATTTTTTAGTAGAAACGGTTGCATAGATGTATAGAGGATTATGTGTGTAGTTTTTCATGTAGTGACTGTCATTTTACACTTAACGTGTAAGACGGGACAGATGGCGTCCATTTCACATGCAAACGTTTTCGTGAAATACATTTTATTTATTGCACGATGTTATTGTAAAGAGTCATTGTAAAATTTACGGGTGTTTTTTGTATCAGTAGCAGAAAAGTCAATTTAATTGCTATTGGCTTAGTGTTTGTTCGGTGTCGTAATCTGTTCAAGGCTGTGGACTGCAAAAAAGTGGAAAGGTTGAAACTGTTGGGGTGCATCAAGTATTTTTCCTTTTTGTTGGTCCATAAGCTGCCCTTTTAACGTTTTAGCTAGTTTTTCTGACAAACCTATCTTTTACCTGAGAAGTTTCTACGGTCAGACATAAAAGTCTTGTGACACACTAAATATTCTTGTTTCTTTGATTGATTTTGTTTACAAGGGCCACAACTTTCCCTATAAGCGCATATAAAATTGTTTATTTATCCCTGTTTTAACATTACCAATATTTGTAAAAAACAAGCCCTAGATGACAATTATCTGTTACGGTACCGGGATTGTAACTTTCGTTGTGCATTAATAATTTGTGGTTCTTTAGTTGATTAAGGCATATAAAGTGCCAACTTGCTTTATTTTAGATTAGAAATACCAATTTTTTTAAGGAAAACTCTCTGGTACATGATAATTACGAATTACTAGAGTCATAACTTTTATTGTGCATTAAATATGTTTGTTTCTTTAATAGATTTTGTCTAAAAAGGCTCTCAAGAAACCCTATCATACTTCTCCGTTTTAAAATTACCACTTTCTCTAGGGAAATTGTCCCGGTTCTTGAAAATTATTTATTACTAAATTTGTAACTTTGTTGGTGGAACAAGTATTTTCTTTTTATTAATTCATGTTGTTTATAGAGTCCAAAATTGGTGATCTTCCTTATAATTCCTTTCTTAGCAGTCATACAAGAACGGTGCTAGCGACCTTTTTAGGTTTTTGGGTATGCCGTTTCTAAATTTATACTTTTTACAAAATGTACCTATCACAAAATGGCAAGTCTCTACACAATGCGAGCAATATAGGTAGGGGTTCTTCAAAGTAATGAACATAGAATTAAATTAAAAAAAAATTCCAACTGAAATTCTTCACCAAGTCCCAGAAATGGTCACAATTTGGCAAAATATGATGGACAACCTTTTTCTTTTTTTAACTGACCAACCGTTTCCACATATCACAATAAAAAAAGTAATGTTCTTTTTATAGTCGAAATCGCATTCATACGCTTACACCCCTTTGTGCGTTAAGTGCATGTTAGAGAGGAGTGTTTTTTATTATGAGTTCTGCACATCATTTAATATGTGCCAAGAAGTCCAGAATTACTGAAATTTTCTTACATGTTTTTGGGTTTCTTGATTTTTAAGTTTTGGGAAAATTTTTATAAAATGGAAAAAAGGACAATTGAATTTGGGGAAACGCAAACTTTGGAACTATTGCGGGCTTAGACGAAACACTTTGGGTCCGCAATTTATTTCGAAAAAATGGTTATTTTGGTCTCCCCTGCCTCTAACACACATGGTTAATATTACACCGATTTAGCTTAAGCAAGTATGCATTAACTAGATGCCCAATAGATAGGTTTTTATCTTAAGAGTTGTATAATGTTCTACATCTTTCGCTATTTCGTTCGTTACGGTGTCCAGTTTGGCACCAAGGAAGGATGCTTTTCTGCGTTTATTAGTATAGAAGTTATAGTCAAAAATCATTTCTTTTATTATGCTTATGATTCGTTATGGTGTGGTTTGCACCAAGGAAGGAATTATTCCTGCGCCATTTACGAAAAAAAAGTTATAACAAAATCTCTTTCACTCATCACATTTTTAAACTTTTGCGCTTATTGTATAGTTATAAATCCTATACGCTTGTAACCTTTGTTGTAAATCGCACTAAAATCCATAGTTTAGCTGGCCGATTGTAGGAGTTTGAGTTGGGCGACTGAAATATAAAGGAAGAAGTGAAGATGGCTGAACTAAAATTGTAATGTTGTTTTTGTATGGAAATAAAAGTAGTTTTATATGATTTAGTGCGTACTTTGTGTTTAAAAACTTCAACCTTTGCTTTTGCTTCGTGATTAGCGAAAACATGAACCTCAGTTTTAGCGATCATTTTGGGCCATTGAGAGACCCAAATTTTTAATCCGAGCCCAATTTGATTTAGGAAACGATCAAATGCATCGATAGAGAACAACAAATTGACGCTGCTGGTAGCCATTATACCTTCTCTAAATAAATAAAAATGAATGTATGTCTGTCTGTATGTCTCTAATGCCTTCCTAAACAATTCATCCTATTGCGGATTGTGAATGCGCAAAGCCAACCTTTTTAGTTGCAAGCTGATTTTTCCGAAATTTTAACCGAAGGTGGTTTTCAAATAATGCGGTTCGTCATCATTTTGGTTAAATGGTTGAAACGAATTTGTCTGAGGTAACTAATTTTTTCGGAAAAAAGACTATTAATGTGGAAACGGCCTTTTAATATTGAAAGTGAGTTCACTCGCAAAGTGAAATTTGACTGAAGATCTAACAATATGTACTAACAAATACTGTTGGACGGATAGAAAGTGGTCAAAATAGAGTACCCACTTTTTATTTTTGGCCACAATAGTTTAAAGCACACTTTTAAATCACACCTATATTTATTCTACCAAAGCAAGAAAAAAGATTTGCATGTCACCCTTTTATACGTTTCCGTGTGGGCGAACACAGTTAACCTTTCCAGTAAAAATAAAACAGAAACTTTATATCTACGATTTATAAAAAAGTCAGGGCCTCTATAATGATCTTAATATGAAATTAGAAGTTTCGTATATGGTGCGATACACCAAATCCTCAAATTCCCGCTTAGATTATCGTTAGCAAATTTGGCAAGTTGAGTGCAAAAAAAAAGTTTATACGTAAAACTGTCACGCGAACTCATTCTCTAAATGACATACTAAAATCTTTTTAAAGCTACATTTTGCATGCATCTGGATTAGTTAATGGCACGTATTAACTTTCAAAGGAAATTACTTCGTGATCCCGATCGTTTGTAAATTTTTACATGACCTACGCTAAAACGGAGCTTTAGTATTACGTAATCGACTACCCTTCGTATTTAATGACGTATTACCAATTACGAAAGAACCTAAATGTGAAAACACTACGTTTGTAGCGCGCTCTTGTGTTACCGTTGCAAGTTATACGATCTGTGTGTTTACTTATACGTGGGGAAAGATGTGTTTCTCTTTATCATCGTTAATTTTGGGACGGAAGTTGCTTGGTGCACGCGAATAATGGAAGAGCTCTGTAAAAAACGCGTCCGGTCTTACGAAACAATGATTATAGCCTAGGGACACTGGAAAGACTATGCTTGTTGTACATATAGGCAGAAACATGCACATAAACAATAACAGCCATTGAAATTTTCAAAACGTCTTAAGTTGGGTGCAAGAACCTTTCGCATACAATATCAACTAAAGTTCATGCATATTTGGAGACAAATTCTTCGATGAAATGGAAAAAAACGCTCTGTTCTACTTAGATAATACTAATGCTTTACCCAAGGGTATCTTATCCCCACTTGCCGATGTACCGATTATAAATGTAAACAATATAAGCGTCTCGACGCTACCGGCACTCATGGCGTTTACTCAGCTTCACTACCTCTGGACCAATTCTGTTAACAAAAGCGACGCCCAGATGCGCGGCGCAGACGCATGCACTGCATTGTACGTCGATTACTTCGTTCTCATCATCTTCGATTTTATCAGTTTATATTTCGGAAAGTTTGCCAAATTAAGTTTTTGGAAACTTGATCGTCGTTATCCATTCCGTTATTGGAGTAGGATCAATCAGTAGAAACCTAATTGGTTCATTGTGTAACGTTTATGTTTTCCAACACTGCGAGTATGAACATGCGTAAAAGTGTTTAAAGTAACGTGCATGATGTGAATTATGCGCTCATGGCAAAATTAGTCGTCCATTTATGTTATGAGAGTGCTACCAAATGTTTCTGTTCTGTAATTGATGTTAAAGGGAGCTTTACTTACATAAATTTTTCCAAAAGCGGGTTGCAGTAAATACGTGAGACAATACATCTGTAGTACGGACTACGGACAATGAAAATTTCTAGATTATTACAACTCTCTTCCTCCTGAATCCAGAAATCACTGATTTCTTCCTCAATTATTTACTAATCTAAACTAATCCTAAAGAGCACTAGGAGAACAGTAATTCTCCAGTTATATTGTGAGAGCATTATTATAATGTAAATCTACTATTGTTCTATGTTGTATGATAATTCTACTTTCTTCATACTGTTACCATCCTCGATACTAATTAAATCTACTCTTGTAATTATACCTTATTATAAAAACGGTAATAGGTACCTTGAGCAGATAGTAAAACGTAGAGGGGAGAACTGCAGCTCCAACGTACAACGAAATTGTAGAAACAGAGAAGGAACTGCACCGAATGATGGAGAAAATAATATTGGTTGGAAGCAGAGCTGGGCAGTATTCGATTTTGTAAATACTTTTTAAGTATTCAAATCCTTTAAAGTATTCAAATACTTTGTAATTAAATACTTTTATGGAAGCAATATTTGTATTTGTAACTCAAATACTTTCACAAATATTTAGTATTCGAATACTTCGCAAGGTATTTGAATAGTTATGAAAAGTTGTGGACTAGAAACCAATTTCGAAAGAAAATTCTAAGGGCTGTAATTTTTGATCTAGTAGTCCAATCTTGGAACTGTTTGAAATTATGGATTCTACAGGCCACGTTCTATAAGAAAATTTTTTTTCCGGGTTGATCTGAGATAATTTTTTTTGCGGGCCTCAAAAAAAGGCAGTGTATAACCTTCGTTTTTTACCAAAAATCGACTACACCAAAATTTCTCGGGAAAACCCTTTTTCTTATTAATTTTGGTGCGTAGAATCCAAAACAATTCGTACTTTTTCGATCAGACTTCTCAATCAAAAGTTATAGACTAGAAACCAATTTCGAAAGAAATTCAAAGGGCTGTAACTTTTGAACTAGTAGCCCAATCTTGGAACTGTTTGAAATTATGGATTCTACAGGCCACATTCTATAAGAAAATTTTTTTTCCGGGTCGATCTGAGACAATTTTTTTTTCGGGGCTCAAAAAAAGGCAGTGTATAACCTTCCTTTTTTACCAAAAATCGACTGCACCAAAATTTCTCGGGAAAATACTTTTTCTTATTAATTTTGGTGCGTAGAATCCAAAACAATTCGTACTTTTTCGATCAGACTTCTCAATCAAAAGTTATAGACTAGAAACCAATTTCGAAAAAAAATTCAAAGGGCTGTAACTTTTGAACTAGTAGCCCAATCTTGGAACTGTTTGAAATTATGGATTCTACAGGGCACATTCTATAAGAAAATTGTTTTCCGGGTCGATCTTTTTTTACCAAAAATGGGCTACACCAAAATTTCTCGGTAACGTACCACCTATTTGTAAATTGTAAGCGAACGCTAGAGTTGTGTTACAATCTATTATTCTGATCAGAAATTCACTGAAGTGAACCCTTCCTATGTACCTCCCTGTTGTTAGCTGCTCAGTGGCACACCTTAAAAGTTCAGGACCTGCCACAAGTACAATTTTTCGGAAATAAAAATTAAAACGTCTAACATTTATTTATAAAATCACAATTCCTCTTTGTAATACTTAACACATTACGAGTCTGTAAACAACGGCTATAAAAATTCAGTCTTCTAAGTGCGGAAAAAGCGTTCCGTTAGTCCATTTGGGCCATGTTTTAATCTCCTCATAAAGTGTTGCGCCTGGACTTAGCGTATCCTGCAGCTGCTTCTCGCCAAACAGCCTGTAGTTTTTTGCCAGAACGCCAGATTCGATTCCTTTCTCGATCAGCTGTTTGGCAGCAAGTAATTGGTAGGGTGGTGGCCTCATCCTATGGAAGGTGCCGACAAACGCAATGCCGATACTTTTGGAATTGTAACCGAAAGTATGCGCGCCCTCGTAATTCCATCCTCTACCTTCGTAAGCGTACCCATCGCCGCCGACCAGGAAGTTGTACGAGATGTCCCATAAACCTTTTCCTTCAATTTGAAAGGATTGTAGGTCTCTGATGCGTATTTTACAAATGGCTTGCTCCGAGCAGTTATCGGTGGCAGTGTGGGATATCACAACGTAAGGGATAGGCTGTACCAGATTGCTAAGTTGTTCAATGGGCGGCTGTGCGAGCCACTCCGATCGTGGAATAACCTTTAGTTTTGGAGGGAGCGTTACGTTCACAGATGGATCTAAAAACAAAAGCAAAATTCGTATCAGCTGTTACTAAGATTAGCGCGAATACGGAACCCTCTGATTCAATTCTGGTTTGAAAAGCACTAGGGCGTGGGGGACCAATGGTCCCAGGTCTTAACCAGTTTATATAAAGCTTCCCCTGGGCTTTGGGTCGTTTGCAATTGTCTCGCAGTGAGAAGCTTGTAATTGGGGGATATAACCTTCAAGTCTAGGCCTATCCTAATAAGTTCCCGAGCCGCGTTTAGTTGTCGAAGCGGAGGCAACACCTGACCGAAAATTCCAATAAAGGCGATTCCTATACACGCACTATTGTAACCGTACACTTGTGCACCTACGTTATACCATCCTCTTCCTTCGTAAGCGTTCCCATCCCCTCCTACCAGAAAACTATACCCGATGTCGCTCCAACCTCTACCCTCAGCGTGAAATTCCTGCACATCCTTGACCATTTTTTTACAAACCTCTTCACTTGAACAGGGCTCACTGGCAGTATGCATGATTATTACATAGGGAACTGGTATCTTTAGTACTTCAACTCCTGGTTTTGGAGGATCAGCTAGCCATTCTTTTCGGGAAATTATGCGGAATTCGCTAGCTAACGTGGAGTTTTCAACGGAATCTGAATACAAAATAAATTTATATTAGCATTTAATATCAACCCTAACATTCTTAAAAATAACTCTAATAAAAATGTAATTGTTTATAAAATGTGCACATATAGGGTCCAGGGCCAATGGGCTTTGCAAGCAAGGATTAGTATTATCAATGGAACAGGGTACCAGAGAATGTTAAGCAACTTACGCCATAATTTTGCTCAATTTGTTACGTACGGTTATGAAACAGCGCCGTATAAAGATCGTCGTGTAATGCAATAAATTTATGTGCACTCAAAAATCATGGTAATAAAGAAAATACCTCAAGGCTGCGTTAGTACTAACAATAATCATTAATGCGTTTCACATGAAGCACGATTGCAATTACATTTTCTGCTCTTCAAAACTTTTGATTCTGTGCTTTATTTCAAAATTAATACATGCGTTTTTCAAATAGCACACAACGGAACGTTGAGATTTTTTGCTTTTATGGTTTTATGGTAATGAGTATTTATCACCAGTCACCATAATTTATTATATACCGTTAATTACTTTGTTGGTTTACAGATATAATTTTTCCGGTTGTAATTGTACACATGGCAAGTACGTGAAGCTGAAATGTCGACTAGAAAGGAATTACGTCTTTTGATTCTCTCCGTTTTTCTAATTTGGAGCGGGGGTCTTACAAAAAACCTTTGTTGTAAATTCGACAAAATCTGTGTATATAAAAAAAAAACTTCAGGACATTGCACCATTGCACACCCCTAATTCAGGGCCCCTCTTTAATTGAAAAATTACATAGCGTAGGTATTTTTGGTAGGGTCATGATGGCTTTAGCGATGGAGGAAATTTCTAAAAACTCTGCATCCCCAAAACTGTTCTGGTTCGTTTACATATGGGACATCTTGTATTAATCTAGATTTAATTAGATTACAGGTGGGCAACGACGAATAAGTCAATCATTATATGATATGAGCTTAATACGAATAGATTATAGGCAGGCCCCGAGCCTTTAGCGCCCTGGGGTATATTTAGCTCGGGGCCACCGTAACTATTCTTATAATAGTAAAATTGCGTATTTAGGGATCGAGTTTCATACGATTATTTATTTGAATTGATTATAGGTAAGTGTTATCCAATGAGCCCGTTCCAGTCGAATTATTTGCGCGGCATTTTAAAAGAGAAACCCCAGTTTCTATTCATTTTCTAAATATACGCAAAATGTGAACTAAACTGGGTCTCCATACGTAGACATCTAATGGTTTCTTAATTGTTAACTTTCCCAAAATCCTGAACCAGATCCATTACTGTCGGGACGTGCGAAAACCTAATGGAAACTGGTGAATATTTCTAGAACGATAGCCTATGGAATGTGCTTAGAATTTTTTGGAATTTTTTTTTTAATTATTCCGAATGGCCTTTAAATCATTCAGTATTTTGGAACGTAAAACTCTTTCAGAAGTTCTCGGGAGACTTAGAGCACTAATTTGTATCTCGTTTTGAAATTACAAACGTCTAAATAGCGTGTGATAACCTTCAGATAATTCCCAATATAGTAAAGGTAACGTTTGAACGACTGCAAATAAGATTATTTTCAGACCAATAAAATTGGTTTTTAGCTCATGTAAAAAGGTAGCTTTCTCACTTTGACTCGCGGCAAATGAAGGCCCGCAGAAGAGCGCTTGTAGAAAGACGAGGGATAGCAAAATAGTTACAGTTAGGGGAGTGACATGTTACATTAAAATTAAATACTTTTCAAGTACTTTCCAAATCTGCAATAAAATATGGGGTATTCCATTAAACAAAAAACGCAAATTTGATACGCCACCGGAATGCAGCACGCCCCTAATGATAAAAAAAATTTGAAACATGGCGACGGTAATTTGTAAAGTTCCTCGCTCTATTTTTGGGATTTCCCAATCGCTGCGACAGAAAATCGCAAGTGCGCGCCTATCCTAAAAGGGAAATATAAATAAGGCTACTCACGTCGCGTAGAAATTAGAAAAATTGGTGATTTTGGAAAAACAAAAAGCAAGTTCCTCGTTTATTTTGTATAGGTAAATGGGGAAATTTAAATCAATAGAAAAGGAAAATACGAAGAGTCGTTGCGGAATGAAATAATTCTAAGCAAATATGGAGCAATTTTGAGAAAATCCTGGCGATAAAGGGGGAAATCGCATAATAATTGAAGGAAATTAAAGACAATGAGGAATGAGTCAATTTTGGCCAGGATTTTGGCAGAGGATTAGGGAAAGCTTTAGGAATTTTAAAGACGCATATAAAAGTGAAGTCAATATAAGAAACTTTGGGAAAATTAGGAGTAAACTTTTGAGAATGTAAGGGCGCTAGCATAAGAAGAAATTTTGAGGAAATAAAGAATTTTGGGTAAATATAAAGAAATACATAAATGCTGTTTCTCATTTAGATCGAAATTGGGGATATTTCAACTAATGTAAGAAATTTTAAGGAGGTTAGAGGGAATTATGGAGGTTTTTGGGGAACAATTATCAATTTTTTTTTTTTAAATATAGGGTTCGACTGCCAAGGTCATATCCCCTTTATTGCACGCTATAGAGTACAGGTACATACGTATATGCACAGTGCTATATGTCGATATATATACCAATTCCTTTTAAGAAGGCGAGGGTGTTATTTGCATTTTGTGAGTTGAAGTTTGTGACGTAGTTTGGCATAATGTTATGACGTACGCGTTCAACGGCATATAGTGGGCAATCATTTATTATGTGCATCACTGTAAGGGCTATGTTGCAGTGGTTACAGTACCGAGGAGGTCTACCTTTAAGTAAATGTTGGTGAGTTATTTTGGTGTGCCCTATCCTCAGGCGGTGCATCTTTACATTCTCCTCCCTTGATGGATGTTGCAATGTAAATAAATCCTTTACTGCGGGTTTTATTTGAGAAAGATGTGTATTGATGCGTGCCCATTTTTCCTGCCATTCCATAGTGTACCTCTCTTTCAGATATTTCGTGATATCACTTGCCACCACAAATTCGACATCAATTTGCTCATTAAATGTAGCTTGGTATGCAGCTTGATCTGCCTGCTCATTTCCTGGAATGCCAACATGGCTGGGGACCCATACAAATTTAATTGACTTCCCTCGCGTACTACATTTAATGCGGATTGGCATTTTATGTTCATCGGATCTGAAGGGTATATTTGAGATATACCATTTAGTACATTGTTACAGTCTGTCACGATTAAGAACATTCTGGTATCACTCATGTAACAGTACAGCATCGCTTGCAGCATGGCGTATTGCTCAGCAAAGGTAGCCGACGACTTAAGGGTCTAAACTCCATTGATGTGCTATTCCCTCAGTGACTACAGCGCTACCAACTCCGTTTGCAGTTTTAGATCCATCTGTATATACAAGTTGGTGTAGGGGATATTCGCTGCATATTTTCTCGAACTCTTGCAGGTAAGCTGTATAGAAAAAATTCTCCAGGAATATATCACGAAATAACAAAACATACGAACTGAGGAAATGCAAAAAAAGTTGAATATTGTTAATTCGTATAGAAATTAGAGTAATTTATGTCAATGAAAGCATTTTGTAGGACTCGGACCACGGAAAATCTGGAGCATAAGTATGCTAAATAGAAATTGCAAAATTTAAGTTAGTGTGTGCGCAAATTTGAGGAGGAAATATACCCGTAAGGACATTTTTAAGGAATGAGAAAATAAAATATAACCGCACCCATAAAAACGTCGATTCTACTGACGATAAAAAAACTTAATCAAAAGATCGATTTTTCCGAATATTAAGAATCGATCCCACAGAATATCGGTATTCCTACTGAAAACAATCATAATGTTACAGAATATCACAGAAGTCAGGTGGTATTGCAGAAAATGTATTAAAAATGAACCATGCGGACGATTGGTAAAAAAAAGAAAACGAAAAATGAAAATGATCACCTTATAGCACATTATTTAACTTGGGCGATGATTAACTTTCACTTCAATTATAACAAATTACCGCTACCTTTTCTAAAGGCTATTGACTCAAAGCCTGTTATAAAAGTAAATCTTTGTATACTAACTATAATAATTGGGACACCAGAAAATTAATTAAAGAAACGTTCGATCACGTCAAATTTATATGAAAGGGAAATTTGCATTTACAAATATTACATTTCCTCCCCGTGGTTGAGGTAGTTACCCACATAGTACTGAAAACTGTAAATTTTTGTGTAAGTAAATGCGGTTTAATAGGGGGAACAATATTTAGCTAACGCAAGTAGCGAAAACTACGGAGAAAGAATTTTGTAGAGAAGCAAGATACAACGGCGAAGAACTGTAAGTCGGGTGTGAAATACGAAAACCTTAGAAGTTCTAAGGGCCAAGGGGGTGTAGATTGGGGAGAAAGAAGACAGTAGCTTGTACACTAAGCAGGAGGTGGCACTGAAAGCGGGTGATAACATGGCTGAATGGTTTGTAATAGGTATAGGAGTTAGGCAGGAATGTTGTTGTATGTCACCTTCTTTATTGAATATGGAGGACATGGTGAGAAAGGTTAGTCAGGTTTGCTGATGATATGATCATATTTGCTGAAAACATGCGGGAATTGAATGAAATGTTGAAACGACTGAAAGATGGAAGACACTTATGGATTGAGAATTAACCATAAGAAGTCGAATGTATAATGATTGTAATGGAAGTGGCAGTAAAGGAGGGGAGAGAAATTGGGACAAGTAAAAATAAGTAAATACGCAGGAATACCAGATGATTGGTTGAGTGAAAAGGAGATAAAGATAAGAATTGAAGAATTGGCAAAAGCGTATATGAGAAAGAGACTAAGAGAGTGGTATGGGCGTGAGGTGTAGACATTAATAAAAGAGAATTAGACAGACTGAAAGCATTCGAGATGTGGACTTGGACGAGGTGGATAAAAGTAAAATGGAGTGATAAGTTTAGAAATGAGCAAGTATTAAGAAGAACATTTTTGAAAGAGATTAATAGCACGCCTATCACCAGCTGACTTATAAAGCTCCAAAAATGATAAATTGCTGATACACTTTTTGAAACACTTCATATATTAAGCTACGGCTAAACCCAAAGCTAAAACAAATATTTTCCTCGACGTTAAGCGTTATATATATATAAATATGTGTGACGCGATAATTTGCGAAAATGTTTCACTCGTTCAACATTCAGAGATATAATTTAGTTTAATCTAAATTACTGCAAAGACTCGACCTCATTCCTGAAAGTAGTTGTAATTCGGTTTGCCATGCCCCTTAGCTTTATTCTTTACAGACTGCTGAAAGATCCCTCTATAAACATAAAAATAGTGCAGTAAATTAATAAACATTTCGGGATATTTGCGATATTATAAGATAAAATAATTTGGAAACTTGCTGAAAAATCACATGTTACATTGTACAATATATCACAGATCCAATTTCAAGGAAAGAATGCCAAATATTATCGAGCACTCTGCAGCTGCAGCTTTTTGAGTCGAGTACATAACGTTGAACATTAAAAAATTAATTAAAAACAAACTAGTCTTTTTTGTTATATTTTCTATAGGAGATCGATTTCGGCTGATATATTCCCATCATCAGGCCGTGCTGAAATACTCATACTCATACTCAGTATGGATTGAGATTAACATTTTTTATAATTACCGTCTAGTGGTTGTTTGCAGGGACATATACATAAGTAACAATGAACATTTTAAAAAACGAGGGTTGTTTAATTAAACATCAGGAGATCCAAATTGGCAAATCAGGTTAATAAAAAATTATATTGGTGAACATATTGTAAATAAAGTTGAGAATCCTTACTTTTATTTAATTTTTTAGTGTTCAACGTAATCACACAAACTACAATGGAGTACTTCATACAACGAATCGAGTACATAACTTTCTCGTCTTTTCGTATAGGTAAACAACAATGCGAAAAATCTTATTTTGAGATAGTTAGCTGGTCGAAACAGAGAAATTAAGCTGATTCAATGAAAATAAGGGGAATAAAATTCAACATAGGAGAGATCGAATGGGAGGAATTGTGTATTTGTGTCTAGCATTTATTTGATTTATTTGGTCTTACGCAACCACGCCATAAAGTGTTATTTTCTGAACCACATTATACAAATTTACAAGGTCAGAAAAACCCCACAAAAACAGTTTCCGGACATGTTAGCTATTTCTTAAAAAACCATCGCGAGTAAGCAAAATAAACGGATCCATTCAACTGCTAATGTTTTAACGTCTAACAGTTCACAGTGAAATAATTATTCGTCGTAAAAAAACAGAAAATCGCATATATTTGCCTTGTGCTCCCAAGAATTGACAAGATTTAAACATCGTTGCGTTACTATCGTCCCTGGACAAAGAGTAACAAGTTAAAAAGTAATCGTAAACGATTTACATAAAGCGCATTTCCACTTGCATTCATTTCCCATTTGTAAGATGCAACTTATGTATCAAATTTCATTTAAATTCTTCCATAAATAAAAAAGTTGGCACTGCGCATGCGCAAAACCAAATTTTGAAACTGGCGTTTGATTTTCCTTTATTCCAAGTGCCTATGTATCAAATTTCATTCAAACGCTTTTATAAGAAAAAAAGTTTGCAATTCGGTTTATAAATGGTCGAGATGTGAAAAGGGCACTGTGAATTTTGAATCGATTCGACTCAACTTTTGGCATTGCGTATTATATATCTAAGGCTATGCCCATATTGAATTTCATGCAATTCAGTTCATAACTAACGGAGATGTAAAAGCGATCGGACATTTCTAAACAAAATTATCGTTCACACGGACAGATAGAGGGACAGACAGGCAAAGGAACAGATGGACAGACCAACAGACAGACGACAGACAACAATACAAAATTATAAATGATCTCTAGGATGGTTAATAAACGGCAAAAGTGTAAAATTATGGAACATGTAAAAAACGGTTTGTTGGTTTTTTTACAATAACTTTTTTAGCAATAAACGCAGAAAAAATTCCTTCCTTGGTGCAAGCCTCGACACCATAACGAACCAAATAGCGAAAAAAGTAGAACAATAGCTCTTAATATAAAGAACTAGTAGCGTCGCAAAACGAGCGGACGGACGGACGGACGGACAAAGTGGCCACAATAGCGCATTTTTTTTTATTTTTGTGAAATGCGCTAAAAAGTTGGTATTGTTCAATTAATTCGTAACAATGTCTGTAGACTTTAATTTACATATAATACAAATTAATTGGAAGTTGCTTCGAAAATTAGGAATAAAATTGCCTTCCGTTTAATTAAAGTGTCGATTTCAATGAACTAGGCAAAAATACACTTCGCAGTCAATTCAACAAAAGAAAATAGTCGGTACGATTTCAGGAAAACTGTCTACGCAAGTAACTTCAGCAATTACGACAATGAAAAATCAAAATCTTTGGGAAATTGTAAGGCAATGCTACAAATGTTGGGAAAATTAAGGGAAATGGTGGCAATTTGTAAGCAGTGAAGAAAATCTTTGTCCGGTAAAATAAGTAAGGCGAAGTTCTTGTCCCTCAAATAGAAAATTTCGAGGAAATATGTAAGTAGGTAATGGATGAAATTAGAGGAGATTCTGGTGAAATATTAGGACATTTTAGGGAAATAAGAGAAAACTCCGAGGAAAAGCCCAGAGGAAATTAAAGGAAATAGTAGGTCGTGACCAATCCCTTGGAATTATTTATCGTAGAATACAACCTATCATTGAAGCAGTTCTACCAAATGAACAGGCAGAATTCCGCACTAATACTGATCAAATCCTCGCCTTAACAAGCCGTATTCCAAAAAGGTTTAAAAACAGGAATGGCGCTTGTACATAATATCTAACGGAAATGCTCATTTGTTGTTCTATGCTGAGTTTTCTTCCACTACCGAAACTTTAAAAACGTAAGTATCCACTTATCCCATATGATACGTCATTAATTTGTGCATTATGGATACATCTGTGTCATCCACTTTTAAACTGCACTATATTGCCATGATACCCAAAATAAAACTGAGGGCTTGCCTTTTTACCAAAGCAGTTGTGTACTAACGGGAAGAAACGCTGAGGAGTTGTAAATGAGATAACATTTTCAATGTTGATCACAAAAATATAAATAATTTCAACCCTCTAGTTTTAATTTAGATCATTTTTGTCGGAAGCATGGCTGCAGTGCCATTGAATTTTGTTTAAGCCTTTTGTAATATATTTTGGATATTTTTTAACAATCAGAGTGGGCATTAGATACAATATTATCCATATCTTCCAAGAGAGTAAACAAGATGATTGTATTTACACAGTTGAATGGGATTTTTGAGAAGACTCTTATAGCGAATAATTTACTTACATACGAAACTATGATTTGTAATTAACCATGTGATCTTGACATTTTAAATAAATTTGTTTAAAAAAGTAGAAAACAAAACCACGTGTTCATGGACGGGGTCATTGTCATACCAACAAACTAGCGTTTTTTTATATAAAATAGTAAATTAAATAATAGCCCAGTCTACCAAAAAACCTCTATCACAGGTCTGAGTAACAATAATCCGGCTTTCACTTTTACTATAACAAAACTGTTGACGTACATGTGTATACGAAATGATTATTATAACAAAGTTGTGATGAAGACCAAAGCGATTAATCTGTGTAATTAACATAACAGATTATTAAATCGGAAAATGCTAGACAAATTTGTTTAGTCATCGCATCATTTCGGGAAAGTGGCTTTATTTGGTAATGATAAATAATGACCTTTAATGCGGCTTAAGGAAGACCACAACTATACAAGGTACTTCCGAACAAAATGAATCATTGAACTTCGCACATTTATGAAAATTTCTAAACCAGAACGATTACTCATAGGTTTCCGTTTTCATTGCTCAATGTTGCTGTGAAAAATTGAATTGGTGACCTACCTACGGGATAATCTGGAGGTATACCGCTATCCTGTTCGTCGCTATCCTTGGGGTACTGGGGTGGCAATCCGTTGTTGGCCGACTGATGTCGGTTCATTAGGACAACCATCAATGTTATTAATGACATGAGTAGTACCACCGCCAAAGACGTGATGAGTAAAACATGCTGCCGAGAAAATCGTTGTAACCATCGCGTACCTTGAAATTATTTATAGAATAATTAGTATTCGAGCAAACAACAAATCAAGGTTGGAGATTATACAAAATTCTGAAAAGCCGCCTCTCACCTTTAGGCTGTCGAGTTTCTGTCACGTTAACCTTATCACTACCATCAACCTTAACTTTCGCCGCAAACTGATCTGGTACAAATCCGGGATTATCACTCGCGAAATTAGAATTGACCGCCGTTTCACCATCACTGTCCGAGTTTTTGGAATTTGCATACAGAACTTGCTTGATCGTTACTGGTCCTTGATAGTAAGTCTTATTACCAAAGTGGATGTCGGTGGAATTCGTGACCGCTATGTTCCCAAAATTTGGCTGGTCCTGCTGACCGTCTTCGGCCAGTATAACCTGGTCATTCCGGCTACACTCCGAAGTTGCAACGCTGATGGTGTCTTGCTCTTCATCTTCATAATCACTGATCGAATTTGATGTTTCCAACGAAGTGATTTTACTCATACCTGCTTAACGTCGAATGGCGCGTAATTTTTCGTGGAACATGTTTAGAAAAAAAAACACTAACTAAACTGTTACTTTTTCTATGGTCCTCACGAATTACGGGGTAATTAAAACCATACTGTCACAGATAACGTGATTAGCGCACAGATAGCGGAGTTGTTAGCACAAGTACTTGTGCATATTTGTGTTTATTCAAGGCAGTCGCACAGCACTTCGAGGTTTCATTGCTAACCGCATACTACTTACTTCCACCATTATTCAATTGATGTTGTTGGACTTTCCAAGGCGTCATTTGGAGGCTTACCTTTGATCACACGTATAATCGTCAACCATTTCGACAACAACCAATTTGCATTGTTTATCGGTGGTAGGCAACCTTCATGCCACGTTTATTGTTTGCAATGTAAGTTTATATTCAAAGGCTTAGTACATAAATTGCTGTCATTAAATAATCAAGTTGTTAAACAGTTATCTTGGGCGCGATTTATGCTTTCTTTTATTAAAAAAAACTAGGAGAATACAAAGTGACAGAACTAGCAGAACTATTTTGAAACTTTAGGCCCCAATTTTTCAGTGAAAGCCTGGGGTTGCGATGGGCTGCCGTTTCAGTTAAGGCATTGTACAATGTACATACAAACTTCTTGTAAAACTTATTATTTTTAAAGTATTTCCATGAAATACAGATTATAGCATGTAGGAAAATGCACGAAATTCTGACGATCCGAAATTTTCCTCATGAAAACTCGTCTTCAGGTAAATTCGCCCTCGAAATATTCGCTAACGGAAGAATTTTCACCGTATAATCGGTCTTATTCAGCCCCGGAAGAATTCTACCCGATAGTACTCGCCTTCGGAAGATTCGCATCGAAGGAGAATTTACCACCGCACCGCCAGAATAGTGCTCGGAAAAAAACTTGGTTCGTTGAATTCGCTTCCAATTAATTTGTGCATATTTTGCGCGAACTCACAAGTTTTGTGCGCGTTGATTAACAACGCCACATGAAAGATTTCCGGTTGTGGTTAAATATTGTGCTCATTTGTGCAATTCGAAAAGAGATTTTGTTCAACATACGCAAACACCTGCGTTTTTCAGCAACTACACAAAAGTCCTAGAGAATACGATCTGATCTGGACGAAATTGGATACCTGGAGATCTATTAAAATTTGAAAAGAATGTTTCAACCAAAAATCTTTTACCGACAACGAAAAATCGTAAAATTTAAAATATTTTCAAAGTGCAGTCCATATTTCATAAGGAAAGTTTAAATATCAAAAGAGTACACTGTGCATTTCAGGATATTCTTACTGTTTTGTTGCCCAGAAAAAAAAATTGCATAGTTGGATAACGTTTAGAATTTGCTAAACTAGTTTGGTATCCGTGTGATTCCCATTTTGAGAACCAGCATAGCTCTCAATGGCATTAGTGATTAGTCCTAGTCCAGTAAAAGTAGACATTGACCCAGAAATTTGAAAAAACAAGCTGAAAATTGGCATACTTGGTGAGGATGGTGCTAGAACTAAATCCTGAAAAGTCCCAAAAGATCCCGGTTGGGGAACGGACGCCATATTGAAAAAACTACCCCTAAATTTGATTTTCCGATTTTTGAGCATAACAAATGAACGAATGGTCCAAATTTCGTCGTCAAGGTGTCAAAGTGGTTGTTTTGATGTTTGTTTTGAGTGAAATAATTATTTCGTATAATACGATGCCCTTGCAAAAGTGACCTTTTTAAAAAAACCACCCACATCATGGGTTTCTCTCTTTTCCGGCTATTGTTGTTAAATAAAGCTTCGGATAATTAGTATTGATGTTTCTAATCGTTCTTCTTGACGTTCTCTATCTGAATGTCAAAATTTCTGTTAAAAAAAACCTTCAGAGTTCAGAACAAGATTGAGAGTACTAACTAAATGAACACTATTTTATTCATTATATTTTTCATTATTATTTGCAGTCAGGTTAAGTTGCACGTAAAAAATATTTAAATGCATTTTACAATTAATGTAAATAAGCGGAATCCTTTCAACTATTCGCACATAACTAAAAAAAACGGCGTGAAAATAATCAATCCATACACAGGTTTTAAACTGGAAACATTCTGAGACCGAACGACAACACAATGACGAAAATCTATACTATGAGTAAAAATCAGACACCGATCTACTCTTACAAAAGTAACCGTTACACCTGAACGCACGGTATCGAAACGTGATATAAATTTGGGTGTTTCGTTACTAAGAAACCGTAGCTTCCAGATTTATTTATTTCTTTTAGGAATTGGAAACAGAAGGTGATTTAACTTCTAGCGCCCCTTTAGCTGCCGATGAGGAAACCAGTTTCCGTATTACATAAATGAACACTTTCTAGGATAACCGTTCCTTTTGCTATTTAGGTAGTAAGGTTACACAAGATAATCGTTGCAAGGAAGCTATGAAATCCAGTATAGCGCAGGCTAAAAAAGCATTGGAATAAAAATGGGACCTGCTAAGATCCGAGATAAATATAGGAATTAGGAAAAGATTGCTAAAAACGTACAAATGGAGTGTAGGTCATACAGATGCAAAAGTAGGATGGAATGAGGATTCGCTGGATGGATAGGGTAACAAACGAAGCAGTCTTGGAGCTAGTACAGGAAATAGGGAAATGTTGAAAACCGTACAGAGAAGACGAGATACAATGATAGCGAACGTGCTAAGACATGGAGGAATAGCACTACTAGCTATAAAAGGTAGGGCAGAGGGCAAGAGGGCAAGAGAGGGGTAGGACCATAGAGACTTAAACACATAGACCAAATAGTTAGGGACGTAGGCAAGGATAGTTATGTAGAACTGAAAAGATTAGCGCAGGATAGGAAAAGGTGGAGGACTGGTCCAACCAATCCTAGGATTGCGCAAACAAAACAACAAAAAATGCCGAAAACGTGAAAAATCCAGGTTGGGGGTGATTTTCCTAAGAAGTTCGAATTTCCAAGGGCTTCTTTATGTGCGGAATTATGTTTTTACTCCAAATACACATTAAAACAAACATTTTGACACCTTAGCAACGAGAATCAGACCATTGGTTCATTGGTTTTGCTCAAAACTCGAGAAATCGAGTTTAGGGGTAATTTTTTCAAGATGGCGTCCGTTCCCCAACCGGGTTCTGGCACTATCCTGAACATGTCCGCCAATTTTCAGCTTTTTTTTTCAAATTTCCGGGTTTGGCCCTTATTTTGTCTAATTTGACTGGACTATCCGTAAACTTTCATTAAATAGTGTTTTCCACTAAAAATTCCGCTGTACTTATTAGTAGTAATATTAACGTTAATTAATATTAATGTAAATAAATGTTCTGTGCCTTTGTTCATAATGACGCACAAAATGTAGGAGTAACGCAAAACAGAACAAAACAATTCAGTTGTGAACCTTGATCGGAGATCATTGTACTAACGTCAAATTAAAAAATTAACGTGATTTTGAATGACAAAACGGTCGAAGGTGTGGCAAAAATCAGTACAAAACGAGCGCAATTCACTATGTTAAATGCTACACTCGACTGAAGATGTTGGTAAACCTCAGAGAAAAACATGAAGCGCAATACTATTCTTCGAAAATCTTTACTGGATGAAAGACGAATTTTTTTGAAAGTGGTCTTAGACGTATTTTTTAGAAAATTTTGTAGCTGTATAAGTTTCTCTTTAACATTCGTGAAAATGAGACAATGTCAATATACGATAACGAAAGCCTGTTTAGGGTCCAGAACAAGAGTGGGACAATCAATAAATATCAATTTAACAAAATGATAAACAGGAGTACCAAAGACAAGATAACATCTGTATTTATGCTTAATTAATAATTGCCCTTTGGCACGACCTTTCCTTTTGCTCATGTATAGCTTATAATCAGTTTCTAAAAATTTATTAATTAAATGTCTATCAATTTTAATAATTTGTTCAAACGCAGTCATAATCAATCATTTTGTGCAATAAAAAGGCCAACGATACTGAAACAAATAGTAGTACTGATACCAAGAAAGACACCGGTAAAGCAAGTTTTTCATTAACTCTACGATACCTTTAAATTATAGAATAATATATACAGCAAAGGCACTACACAAAAATCATGTTCACCTTTTTGTGCTCCATCCTCAGTTTCTTCACCAACCAAGTCCTGTGTAAATCCAGTATTATGAATGGCTGACGGTATATTGGTGACGCTGTGGGTTACTGGAACTCCCATAGAGAAGTTAATTTATTGTCACAGATACAGGATAATTTTTTACTGTAACTTTGTTCATCTTTGTTTAGCATGTAGGCAAATGGTTTTTCACTAACTGCGACAATCGTCTGCAAATACCGATGAAAAATCTAATTTTCCACCAAGAAATCAAATGGGTCCATGCAACGCGGGAAGTGAAAAGAACATCAACATACCTATCGTAAAGTGTAAGAGGTTTGGTTGATATTGAATTCTTTCTAAATAAAGAACCATTGTGCCAGTACTCAATAACGTTGTCCATTATGATGTGTTACTCCAAAAACTCAAAAATATGGGTGCATCTTTATCTATGCTAAAACTAGTTCGCAGCTACGTAATAGCCAGAAAATGCTATGTTCGTTTTCTAAATTATGATTCTTTTAGTTTTTCTACTACATCCGGGGTTCCGCAAGGTTCGAAGCTTGGGTCCCTATTTTTTATTATTTTTATTAATGATTTGCCAAAAATTTTTACCTCCTCTTGTCTCTTGTATGCTGATGATTTGAAACTTTACAAAGAAATAAACTCATCTGTTGATGCATTGGCATTGCAGAAAGATTTAGATGCGCTCAATAACTGGTGTATTAATAATAAATTAATGTTAAATATAAAGAAATGTTGTGTTATGTCTATTTCTCGGAAAAAGTCGAGGTGCTCTACTGAATACAGAATTAATAATGAACGTCTTGAATCAGTCTGCACAGTGAGAGACCTTGGGGTAGTTTGTAATAATAACTTTACATTTGTAAATCATATTGATTATTTAGTAAGTAAATCTTTCAAAATGATTGGGTTCATAAAAAGAAACACTAGACATTTTAGAAATACGAAGGGAATCATTATGTTCTATTGTGCTTTTGAAAGATCAAAGCTAGAGTATTGTTCTACTATATGGGCTCCACATACAGTTAAACACATTAAAAGGATAGAAAAGGTGCAAAACTATTTTCTTAGATATTTATTTTTTAAAAAATTGAATAAGGTTTGCCCAAGAGATCTTCCTTCTGTGATACTTCGTGGTGAAG